ACTTTGCAATAACTTTCGATACTTTTTACTTTTTTTGTATTATAATAGATACTCATTTTTATTCTCACACTTTTAAAGTTATTATTATTATTATTATTATTATTATTATTATTATTATTATTATTATTATTATTATTATTATTATTATTATTATTATTATTATTATTATTATTATTATTATTATTATTATTATATAAAATGCCTTAATAATAGGGCGGGTGGAGTCAAGATAAGTTTGAACTCTTTTTGAAAAGGACTCTTCATTGTCGTCGGAGCGGCCGCTGGTTTGCCCGCGCAAAAGCGCACGTGATAGACATTCCTATGCCCCAACATTATTAAAATTTTTTCTTTACTGAAAAGTACGGTTTACAATAATTCTTATTAATTTCGAGTATTATATTTAACCGTAATACTAATATTATTATAATATTTATTGCATAAATAAACTTTACTATGCAAACTTCTTCCTTCTATCATATTTAATATATTCTTATTATTATAATCAATACTGTACTCTACTTATGGTTTTTAAAAGTCTACTAGAAATTTTTTTTTTTCACTTTAAAAAATCTAGAGTTATTATCTAATATTTTTGTCTTTCCTTAAACTGAAAAATATTATCAAAAACTAAAATATATAAAACAGTTATTTTATAAAAGTGTATTAATTTTTACTAGTAACCTTAATATTATTACGATAATAACTTGATATAAAAATTTCAAAAATATATTCAATCAAGAATTTTTACTATAATATCAAAAATAAATAATATATAAATTTCCTAGTAAACTTTTTTCTATCTACTTTATTATTTATTTATGAAAATATTATAAAAAAAAGTAAAAAATATAAAAATGTAAAATTTTATATTATTAGTAAGTAAATTTTTTTTTATAATAGTTTAAGAAAATGTCTATAAACTTTAATAATTCTGAAACCTGCACGGGACATTCAAAAAACAAAATAAACTCAATTTGTGCCTCTTTACTCATTAATTCAGTCCATCCTAATAAAACCGCAACATTTATATGTTATTTGGGCTATTTTAAAAAAAAATTATAATGAAGCTACAAAGCGCTTCTATTATTTATCAACATTATAATTTTTAGAATATTATTAATGATTTTAAATAATTATTATTAATATATTTTTTTTATTTTTTTTTTATATTTATAAATATATAAGCTTTTATCGTATTTATTATAATAATCATTATCATTACCTTTTATAATGGTCAAGTTATAAAAGCTCCTAAGAAAATTACTTTTGCACATAAAAAAATTATATATAATATTAAAGTATTAAAATATTTTGTTACTAAATTTTGCTATACAATTATATAAAGTTTGTTTATTATTATTATAATATACTTTTAAGAATATTATTAAATTTATATCTTTACTTTTAATATATAAAAGTTCTAATTAAGTCAATAATTATTTACTTAATAAAAAAGTTGAGTAGAAATAGTCTACTTTAAAATATTTTTTGTTATGTTTTAAGGTAAAAAGTTTTATATACACTAATACACTTGACTTAAAACAGTTATACTTGTATAGATTACAAAAAAAAAGTTATAAATTGAGATAATTAATTTTTTATAATAAAAAATATATGAGAAAATCGCTTCTTTAATTAATAAATACTACATAAACTTTTTCAATAAATCAATTTGAATTATTTAGATAATAATAAATTAATATATAAATAAATGTTATAATAAATTTATCTAAATTAAAATCTTGAGTTTATATTGTTTCCAAATTTCAATTTATTAGAAGTTATAAAAATATTGACAATTTTCTTTTTGTAATTAAATTTCAATTTGGTGATTTAAAAGTTTTTCAAGTGACGAAAGTAATCAAAGTTCAGCAATTCTTTATGTTTTGTGAGTTTATTTATTAAAAAATAAGCATCCCATGAATTAAATTTTTGGTGGTTAATTTTAATTCGGTATTTAAAAAGTATTTATATATATAGAATTTGATAAGATTACTACTTTGCAATTTACTTTGACTTAGTAAATTTTAAAAAGACAAGTATAAAAAATTTATAATGTACATATTAAGAATATATTTTTAATGAAATTTAAAAAAAAATTGTAGTTTAAAGAAATTAAATTTTTAAATTTGAGATTAGATTTTAAAGAAAAATTGAATAAGTACATTTTACCAAAAGAAAATGATAGTTCGATAAACTTAATTATCTATAAAATTAAGTTATAAACTATAAAATCAAGTAGTAACCTAAATTTACCTAAAGATAAAGTTATAAACTCTTATAAAATATTCATAATATAATATAATATTAAATAAATACTTCGACAGAAAATTTTAATAATAATATGAAATATTCTTCAAATTTTTCTTTAGAAATATTATTTCAAATACAAAATTTTTTTAAAATTAGTTTAGAAAAATCTAAGGATAGGTAAAAATGAAACCTCTCAAGTTATCGTTGTTTCTTGGAAAGCCGTCAATTAAGAAGTTTTTATTACCACTTTTCCCCATGGCCTCGAAAAAAAAATAAAATATAATTATTTTAAAAAATTAAAAGTAAGTTATATAAATATTTAAAGAAATTTTTTTAAAAAATCATGTCAGTTATGAATCAAGCACGGCAATAATAAATAAAAACAGAAGTGAATATTCATAACAAAAATAATAGAAAATCTTTTAATAGAAATAACAAAGTAAAAAAATATTTAATTAAAATTTACTGACTTTACAATAACTTACTTGAAAAAAAAATCTAAAAAGTAACAAAAAGGAAATTCTCTTACTGAACAAATGTGATTTATAAATTAATTGGTAATTGTACCTCTCTAATAAGTTTAATTGTTATGTCCACCGGAACAATCTTCCCTTCTTTTATATAAGATTCTATGAGTTCACCTATTTTTTATAAATAAAACGAAAATATAAAAAAGAAATTATTAACGACCATTTTTAGATCCAGAATTTCTTTCCTTTCTAAGGAGATCACCAGCGGAGAGATGGACATAATTAAATTCATCCGCTATTTTTTGGCACTGTGTACCTTTTCCTAAGTAAATAAAGATATTAAGAATATAATTAGTTCTCTTAATTAATAACTTAACTAAAGTGAGTTTTTAAAAATTAGTAACAAAACTATTTTTTTTGGATAAAAAAGTTTATTGGTTCTGTAATAATTTAAATAATATAATAAACAAGCGCTTATCTTTTTGTTTTTATAATTATAGTTGATTTATTTAGACGGTTTTAAAAGACAGTAAAGACATTCTTTACGGCGAAGGATCAGAGAATAAGTAGTTTATAGCCAAGTTAGAGCGATAGATAAAAATATAATATAAATAACATAAACAGTCCTAAAAAATAATTATATAAAGATGTAATAAATTTTTTAACCTGCACCAGGCGCACCTAAAACAAAAACAACGTTATACATGAATCTTTGAACACCGTGAACGAAGTTTTTCATACGATAGCAATATATAATATTAATTAAAAAGTGGTATTACGCAAGGAGGAATTACTTCAATTACAATATTATAGATAGAACAGCTATTGTTTATTTTGAAAAGTCCAGTTGCTCATAAAATTAATTAGCTGCCCCTTCTAGACCAAGGCAGACGAGATTGTTAAATAAAAAGTAAAAACAAATTAGTTACTCGTAAAACTTCTAACTTGATAAGAAAGTTACCACCATGGAACCATCGCCTGCTGTTCCCCCAAAGTAATCCACAACTTCTTTAATAAGTTATAGTCTAGCATTTAAATATAACCAAGAAAATGCTTGATGTAACTAACTCTAATTGTTATATATTAATTAAAGAAATTATATTGAAACTTAGTATTAATGACTATACTTAACGTTTAACAATTTTAGGCTTAACTGTAAGCATTAATTTATCTTTTGACTTTCTTTTTGTAAGAATTCGTTGAAATAGCACTTTGAAGACTACTTTAAAAAAAATGCAGACATTGGGTACTAAACTTTGATGTCGTACAGTAACATTGTTCGTAAAAAACTGTCGAGTTAATGCAAACAAACCATAAATAAAACTACTAATTTTAAAGTTCACTAAAAATGCAATAAACTTAAAAAAATAATGTATAAGTGCCATATAGAATGAGTGCAACCTTAATAAAAGTTTGCTTATTAATTTTCTCTTATTGCTATAAAAAACATTTTATACTGCAGTTTGCATCGGAGCAACTGCAGTAGGCGGGCCTTGAAAGTCTTAGCTTATAATTATAAAAACGTCTGTGTCCACAAATTAAATATATTGCACTATACAACTAAGTGTTTTATTTCAACCGGGTTGTTGCACTTAATTCACGGTTAAAGAGAATTTTTTTGTCGAAATTAACCGCAACAACAAAAATAGGATGCTCGCAGTTGGGTGCGATTAATTCGTTGTAAAGGTACACCTTCGACACGCCCCCAACTCCCCCCTTTCGACGAATAAGTTATTCAGGGACCCCTTCTGTCGCTAAACTAGGATAGCTTGGAGGTCCAAGGACAGGTACAAAGTCCCCTTGGACACACCGTACTAGAGAGTCAACAGAACCCCTGACAATGTCTCTAATAAGATGCTTAAACATCTAAGACACACAAGATTCCACCTTATTACTAGCCTATGCAATTCAATTTTACACAACTCTTGTTTCCCATAGCAATGGAAAATAGCAAATGTAATTTTCTTCCCCAAAACAAGTAAACCTAGAAATTTCGTTCAAAACTAGCGCCCAATTAGTCTACTCTCGTGCCTAGGCAAAGTACTGGAAGTAATACTAAATAAATTATAAACCTAAGGGAACATGTTTTAAAAGCTTTTATTGAAAGGAAGTCAAAAGCAGCAATATTTTTAGATTTCGAAATAGAGAGCATTTCAATAGGGTATGATACAATGGCATTACTTCCAAAATTATTATATGCAACTTTTTCAGAAACCTGACACCTAATCAAATTCTTTCCGCATGAAAGAACTTTTTCTACTAAAATTGGCTCAAAAATCTGCCAAAAGAAAACTAACAATTGGAGTTCCCATAGTCTCTTCTTTCATCAATTCTTTATTTTTTTTATCTAATTTAATGATATCTTCAAGTCTACTAATGCCTTTACGGCAAAATATGTGAATGACATCGCATTATACTGCAGTTTAAAATAAGCCTCTTTGGCAATAAGACACCTACAACTCTAGGTAAGGTCCTTTTATTAAAGAGAAGAAGAGTAAAAAGACTTCTCATCAATCTTTCCATGTTACAAACGGATTCCCTAAAGCGCTCACGTTAAATATCTAGGCGTAATAATCGACTCCAAACTAAAAAAAATTGGAATACCTACTCCACCTAAGTTATTAAAATAAAGCGAAGACCTTTAGAAACACCACTATTTGCCCTCTTTTATGCAATAAAAGTAAACTTAGCCTAAAAAACCAACTGATGCTTTTCAAATCTTGCCACAGTGACACCGTCGCGTCAATTGCGCGGGGCTTTAGACGTCATTATTAATCGACTACAAACCCTACAGCAGAATTGATTTGTTCGCAACCGCAACTTACACCGGGATTGTTAAAAAAAACTAAGTGTTTCGGAAACTTAATTGTTGAAACAGCAGGCAGACAAAGCTCAGACTTCAGCGCGCTATCTAATTAACTTTCGTCCAAAGCTGTAACTTACCATCCTCACCACTACTCAAACACAAAACACTTAAAAAATTTTAAAAAAATTATTCTTACGTAAACCCTTTATACTAATACTAACAATGTTAAAAATACCTAGTAACTATGTTTATAACAACAATTATAATAAAATTAATAACATTTACAGTAATAATTCTAATAATAACTTAATTACAAGAAAATATGCGAATAGTAGCTTTTATAGCATCTAGACCCCTTGAGTCTCCACTGTGGCATGTCACTTCATAAATACATTAAGCCGTCAACCCACGACTTCACCAACGAAACCATATATTTAGGAATATTAAGTAGAAGTTCAGGCTAATAAAAATTCCATTTCAAAACTTAGCACTATCATAGTTTAACACAAAAAAACAATATACAATAACATAATAATTATACAGTAAAAATAAATAATAGTAAAACAAAACAGGATAATATGTAGTTGAGTTGAGGGTTGAAAGTCTGAGGTCACAACTCTAATTAAACAATAGGCGCTATTTAACCTCGCTGAATCCCGACAAGTCAAGAACAAATTACAGGAAGCAGAAGTAAGCATCGTAGATGAACCTTTAAATGCACGTCTTGAAGAACAAAAGAATTTTCTAAGCGGTGAAGACCCACTTGTGAAACATAACCTTCGTCCTCGAAAAGCTACCAGAAAACCAAATTCCTCGTGGAAGGTTGCAAACGAGGCAACAAGACTTGACATATGGAAGATATATGCTATTTCAGAGACGAAGAGAGTATGAAGTGCGGAAAACTTGGGCACATCGGATCACAGTGCCAAACTAGATTAAATGCCTCTCGTACGTTCAAGCGCGCCACATACGAAAGTAAACAAGCATCAACTATGCTATCCTTTTTCTTTACCCTTTTCAGGGAAGTCTTACGGGATGTTCAAAGAATTCGCAAATGAATGATGTGTAATAGCTTTATATTTTTCCTAGTCCAAAATATGTTTAAGATTTCAAACCAACCAAGGAGTTAGTAAAAGTTTAACCAAAAATGTGGTATCTACAGAGCGGGCACACCTTCCATAACGAAAAAGCTATTATTACACCCGAATGATCAAGCGGGAGCCCCGTGCTTATATATGTATATTGGTAAATAATCCATATTAGCCTCCAGAGCCACAGCGTGGTTAGGTAAGCAACAAAATGACTAGATAAGCTACACTAATGCAGCCAGACCATTAGCTAACGATTAACCATCCCTATTTTTCAAGCACTAATTCATAGTAGCAACTATCTTTCTAGGTTGTTCGGCTTATCACTTTAGTCTAACTACAATAGCGACTTCGGATCAGAGGATAGTGTCATCTGCCATCACTCATTCCCAAAGCATTCATAAAGTTTGCGTTTGACTTTACTGCTTACAATGAACGTTCTTTGGCAACGTAGTCAATCTCGCCAATTTTTCACCATAGGCACCAAAGGCTCTTCCTAAGTTACTTATAAGAATAAATAACATTGGAAGGCAATGCCCGTATACAACACGCGCACTATAACGAGAAAAGTTCGCGGTTGATGAGTCTATTACTTCACTCTTTAAGAAGCAACAAAACCTGTAATGAGGAGCAACAGATGTCTAGCTAACGAACACAAAGGCGGCATAATGTAATTCCTACGTATCTTGATAAGGGTAATCTGCGCCTGAAGACACAGGGAAGATAATACCTGCCTAAGCGCTTTAGCAAACACTAAGTTTTTACCATTTTTAGGGGCATGTCTTTCGACGCGAGGTATTTAGTTCATTACACCTCATATACCACCCGTAGTGCATGCTAACCCTGAGCTAGATTATGACAATGGAAGATACCATAATCACGCTTCATCGGCTTGTATTGTCATAAGTGAGTCTAAGCCTCAAGTCAGAAGCTATTCATAACTTGTAAAAGATAGGTACACAAGCCATAGAGCTTATTAGAGCATCACCCTTGACACCTCCGAAGAGTAGAGGGTGACATGACCTAAGTCAAGGTAGCCTACATTCAACATACTGTCCACCCGCGAATGGCCCCCCGTTATCAACACTAGACCGCAGCCATCGTGGAGCCGCCGGGAATAACATTTTGGCGTGTATTTCATGTAAGACCTATCTTTTTCAACCGCTTTACGAAAGTATGCTAAAGGAAAAAAGAAAGCGTTATACTACAAAAGGGTGTCAAACTATTACGAAAGCTGCGAGATAAAGTTAACGACCCAATGCCAAAATACCCGGCATAGCGCTCCCGCTACGATCCTGGCCTGCCCTGCTGACATAAATGTATCTTAAAAGGATCGCCGACACATACCCTGCGGTTATCATAGTAGAAGGGTTTTTTACGGCACCCCGCTCAAATACCGAGATACAAAAATTAAAGTAACGCGCAGGGACATGCGTAAGAAATGAGGCATGCCACTAATTGCGTATCTCATACGTCAATTTGCGACAGCTTAATTATTTTATATATAGTGCTTATACCCAGATAAAAATAGCAAATTTAAAGCAAGTTGAAAAATTTGCATTTTTTCGGGTAAAAGCACTAAATAGTACTAAGTTGTCGGCTAGAGTATAACTGGTTTACCCGAGAAGGATGTTGTTTTAGCGGTTAAACTACAACACCGAATAAATGCATAGTTTTATAAAGCTGAAAATCGTTGAATTAAGGTAGCTCTAAAACTAATTAAGCAAGATATTACTAAAGCTCCATTTAATAAAATAGATAGCCCTAAAATTTGGGCAACTTCCTGCTATTAAAGTATACTTGCTTAGGTTAGCCTTTTCACTAGTTAAATAATCTAGTGTATCTGTAGCTTTTGCCCGAAAACATCATCGAGTATTTTATAAATGAACTTAATAATTAGATAACCCTAGGGAAGCACCCGAAGACAGGTAAAAGATGAGTATGCAGGGAATAAGTTTATTTATTTTGGAGCATACATTACAGCTCCTTTCACTTTAGCCAACTGAACTAAGCCCAAGAACATTTTATACTCTAATAGATATACAACTCGAGCACAAATACCCTACAAAGAGCCAGAGATAATGCAACTAGTTTAGCATCATCTTGAATCTACCCCACAGTGCTATCCTGTATCACTCATCTTGTTAACTTTTTTGCTAATGAACTTGGTAGAGTTTCATTTAATGAACAACCTCGCTAAAGATCAGATGGTGGGGACAGAGTTTCAAATGATCAAAAAGTTTAGCGTTGAATCAGGTTAGCTTATTCGATTAACTTAGTAAGTTTCCCTCATT